GAAGAGCAGGGAGAGAGTCTATAGCTGGCAGACCTGGGAGATGTGTGCCCTCTGGGTAGCAGAGCTACCTTGGCATCCATACCGCTGCCCCTCAGGCTGTCACCTTCCACTGCAACCATCTCCTCCCAGCTCCTCCCCGGGATGAATGAGTGAAGCTTGAGTGCAGCGTGGGTGTGCCAGCTCTCCTGGGCCGTTTGGGCACTAAGGTAACTCAGCTCCCCCTCCTCTCTGAAGCTCACCATCTTTCCCCAACACACACACCTTCAGGCCTTGCCTGCTCCACGAAGTCCCATGAGGCTGCCAGGTGCAGGAATTGGAGCCTACTGGCTGTAGCAAGGCTTCCTTTAGCTCTTCCTAAACTAGACCTGACCTTCCACTGTCATCCCGTTCCATAGGGATGGGCAGAGTTCAGTCCCAGACCTGCAACAGCAGCCAGCAGCAAGAGCTGCTGGAATGTTTCCAGCCACATAGCTGGGGAATGGGCAGCAGGGCACACCCTGGATCCCAACCCTCCATTCCTACCCTGCCAAGCCAGTGCTGGACCCTGGATGTGCCCTGGGTCTCCACTCTCCAGACTTTCCCCGGAGCTGTTTGCTATGATAGAGATGCCCTCTCACCCTTCCTTCTGTGCTTGGTGGGCCCCTACTGACAATTCAGGGTCCACTCACCAGTCATCACGCTCTCAGGCAGAGGGAGGACCTCCATTCTCCAGGTTCCGCAATGCCAGGCGGCACCACTTTCACACTCAGTACAATTCTAAGCTGGTGTCTGATGGGTTTTTTGTATCACTCCTGTCCATCAGAGTGGGCATGCCTTCTCTGTCCCTGGTACCTGGCACAAGGTCATCGACCATGAGGATCAGTGGCTGCAGTGCACACATACACATGAGGTTCTAAGACAGCCCAAATAAGGGTGCCCTGGAGGGATGTCCTGAGGAAGAGAGGCCATGGGGAAAGGCAACCTAGCCATGGAAATGATCCATCTTTTCCAAAGAAGGGCAAGACCATTGTCCCATCTCTGGCTGTAAGACCTTAGTTAGAAGCTGTGGGGCCACTTCTCAAGGCCTGAGAGGTGAGGTGGTGTCACCAGATCTCCTGGGCTGGCACTCCAACAGCTCACAGCCGTGCCTTCTTGCTCCTAAGGGCCCACTGAGACTGACCCCCATTGGGCCACGCACCCCACCTTTCTCCAGATGCCCCCTGCAACAGCGTTTCTCATCCCTAGGACTCTCATCCCAGACCATCGTGTATGCCCCAACCTCCCCACTTCCCAGATCCTTGAGTCATGTCCTCTATAATAGAAGTCAGTCATCCTCTCTGCATAAAGATCTTGACAAAACCCCAGCCCTGGTCAAACCTAAATCATCCACCCACTGCCTGCTTTCAACCAAGCAGCTGCTCTTTCCGGAGCAAAACACTGTCTGCATCGACTGGCCTCGCTCTAAATTCATGACCACAAATCTCCAAACTTCCCTAGTACATTCACTTTCCCACTTGTTAAAATCAGCATCCCTCCTCCCTCTCCAACCTCCCATCTGCTCCTCTGACCCCCACCCATGCTGTGACTCTGCCTGGTATTTAGGGGAAAATGGAAGTCCAGGCAGAAATTCATCCCCCCACACCCACCACTGGCATTTGAACTCAAACTCTCTTTGCTGATTGAAGGGCAAGTCCTCAGCCTGTGCCCTGGAGCCCAACCCTTCTCACCTCACACCAGGGTCCCCCCACTTCAGTTATCCCCCTTTCATGGTCACTGTCCCCACTCTACAAAGCCATCTCCACCCCTTAGAAAGCATCCTCTCCCCACTTTCCACTGCTTCCCATAGCCACCTTCCTCATGTGTCCGTGTCCAGGCACTGTCGCCGACCCCTCACACTCTCTCCTTAACCCTAGCAGGGTATCTGCAGACCCTCCACTAGAGTCTACCCTGGTGGGTCATGCCCTGCTGCACATCACCAAGCACCAGGCTTAACTGCCATCTTTCTTGGCAGCATTTGGCACAGCAGCCCTTCCCCTGGAACACCCACAGGGTCTGCACCCTCCTTGAAAGCCACTCCTCTGCAGCCTTTTCTTCTCCCAAACTCTAAGTCAGAGGGTCTTGCTAAGAGTGATTCTCTCCCTGCCAAAGGACATTTGGCAATGTCTGGAATACAGAAAGGGGGCTGCTACTGGCATCTGGTGGGTAGAAGCCAAAGATGCTGCCATACTTCCTGCAAGGTACAGGGCCACCCCCCCACAACAAAGAATTACCAGGTACAAAATGCTGAAATGCTGAGATTAAGAAATGTTGCTCTAAATGCTGCAGCACCCCAGCTCAATCTGAGGATCCTTCCTCTTCCTCTACACCCATGGCTCCACTCCAGATGTGACGGCACTCCTCCAGCCACCTCCTGCCTTGCTCTCCCCACTGAACCCCAGGCTCCTTCAGCCCACCAGCTGACCCCTTTGATGTCACATGGACACCTCAGACCTGGCATACCATTTCCCCCAGCCCTGCATAGCCCCGCGGTCCTCAGTGCTGGATTCTCAGTGAATGGTGCAGCTCCCCACCTGAGAGCCGGTGCCCTCACCCCATGCATGCAATAAGTGGGGCCACTGTGACCCCTAAACACTCCAAAAGCACCTGCTCCTGTCCATCTCTATGGCCCCTCTCCCTTGCACAACTGCAGTGGCTTCCCAGCTATTCTGCTTCCAACCCATTCTCCAGAAGGCATCAAGGACTTTTTAAACCTTAAGTTGGATTTGACACCATCTTCCTTCAAAACCTCCAGTAACTGCTGCCTGCGGCTTGTGAAATAAAACCCACCCCGTCTCTGCCTGACTTGGCTGCAGCCCCCTCCCCCTGCCAGTTACACAGACCCGACCCACCTCTCTTTCCCCTGCCTCAGGACCTTTGCACTGGCTACTCAGTACCTGAATTTTTACAGGCAGCCTCCTGCCATTTAGGGCTCAGCTGAAATGTCACATCCTCAGAGGGGCCCTTCCTAAGCAGCAGCCTAAGGGGGCACTCCACTCTCCCATCATTTGCCAAGGCCAGATGTTTTCTGGTTTGATAACTTATTGTCTAGTCCGCTCCGCCCTGAATAAGTTCCATGAGAGGAGGAGCCTGCCTTGCTCACTATGCTATTCCCAACAGAACAGAGCTTGCCTGGCACCAAACAGCCATGCCATAAGTATATTGGATGAGTGAACAAACTGAGCCCACACAGCTACATGGTCGGTGACTGGGGAGGTGAACAGGCCACAGACCGCAGGGGGTTGGCTAGCCACCTGGGCTCTAGGTAACACCCCAGGGGCCTGTACCCCTCATACCACCAAGGCTCAAAGGACTGAACCTTGTCCCTACCCTGCCCTTAAGCCACCAGGCTCAGTGGCTTTGAGAGAACCCGGAATTGGAGACAAAGAGTCAAATCCTAACAGAGGCTGGTGATGGGTGGCCTGAGAGCCAGGGGCCTCCCAAGGCATGAAGCACAGTACCTCCTTCAACCCAGCGTGGCCACCAAGAAACCCCAGCCCAGCAGCAGAGGCTGACAGGAGTGCCTGCCTCCTATGTCCTTGATAAAGGGGCCATTGCATGTACTGCCTCTGTCTATGACCACCTCAAGGTCTCTGCCTGGGAGCCTCCCAGGGGGGCTGTCTCCCCAACTCCCCCCCATCCTAGGGGCATAGCCAGAGCCCCTACGCACTCCCTGAGCCAGGTGCAGTCCTTCCCTCATTCTAATGCATGGGACTGGGCTAACAGCAGACTGAAGGCAGAGGCCACAGAGTCCCCTGAGTGCATCCTCATGTCCCTAGTGTGGCCCCAGCACGTGGCCCTCCAGAAAGCTGGCAAATGGCAGCCTTTCCCCAGAACCTGGGAATGCCAAGCTTCAGCCCTGCCCTGCTGCTTCCCAGCCAGGACCCCCTGGAGCACTCACTGAAGTCTGTCTTCCCTGGAAGGTGGGATAACCACCCTGGGGCCCACAGGGTAAGGGGCGTTAAAGGCACACAGGAGTCAGGAAGCTCTGCATAGCACACTCGGCTTTATTTCCTTCCCCAACACATAGGACTCCTACCCCCTTCCACCCCAAGTAGGGCTTCCTTGACTTTCTGAAAGGCCACCAAAATAGTACTCCTTGGGGACTGAGGCGCCTCTGGCCCAGTCCCACTGACTGGCACCCTGGATGCTTTCTTCATGCTTGGGACAAACCTCATGGGGAAAGCCAGGAGCTGGGGCAGAGGAGGAGGGGGGCCTGACTGAAGGAGGACAGGACAGGTAATCCCAGTCCTTTCTCCTTCCAAGGCTGCACCTGGCTGAGCTACAGGGAATAGCAGTCTGGGGTAGAGATGACCAAATCCTGTGTTCAAGGGCTTCAGGGGCCATCTGAGGTTGCCACTGTATGGTCTGGTAGTGCCCCACTTCTTTTTCTTCTCCTGGACCGTGGCAACCCTTGGCTCAGTACCTTCCTGCTCTGCAGGGGAGTGAGTTGGGCTCTCAAAGCCTCCTGGAGACCCAGGCTGGAGGGTACACCAATGCAGAACAACATCCCCCACACTTGGGTATGTAGGGTGGGATGGGAGGCTGTTCCCAGGGTCCCAGCCAGAGGGCTGCCCTGAGGGAGAGGTAGGGACACCATTAGTCCATGCTGGGGGCAAGGCCTCAGCCACAGGAGGGATTCCAGGGTGCTGCAGGGCTGGAACCCACTTCTTTCCCACCCCTTCCAGGACCTGTCCCTTTAGAATGTCACCTCCCATCCCCAGCATCCTGCAGTGCTGGGGAAAAACTCAAGAGCAGGCAGAGCCAGGTCTGCCCTTCCCCCACGGCAGAGCTAGAAGGCCCCCTGGCCCTGGGAGCCCTTAGGGGAACATGATGAGAAGAGAGGGGAAGAGGCCCAGCCCTCTGAGGTGGGGTGACAGTTTGAGGTTGGAAAATAGGGGTGTGGCCTAGAGGAGCAAGGGGTAGATGGCCCAACTCCTCCAGGTAGAGGATGCCCTCCCCACCTGGAGACAGAAGCCACAGGCTTAATATCTGGGCCTCCCCCTGAAATGACTTTTAGGTACACAGCCTCCTGGCAGAGCTGGGCTTCCCTGGACAGGGTCTGGCTGGCCTCCTGCTTCTGAAGATGGGGCTGTGGGTTCGGTGGATACTCCAGCCAGCCAAGACCGCTCCTGAGCAATACCAGGGGCTCCTGCTCTGGGCCTCGATCTTAGGAAGGAAGCCAGGGTCTGAGGCTGCCTGGCCGAGGCCTCCACACTGAGCTTCTTCAGGGCAGGGGACTCCCACCCATGTGGGTTGTCCCCAGGCCCTGCAGGAATGGGCTGGTCTCCCGCACTGGAACCACTGGGGTCAGGTCTCCTGGGTTCCGCTGACAGTGCCTCCAAAAGCCGCTGCAGGGGTAGGGAGGCTGGAGCAGGGCTTCTACCAGTGCTATGGGCATGGGACCCTGAAACAGGAAAGCCAGGAGGTCAAGTCCACAACCATAGGATGACACATAACTCAGCGGTGCAGAGCCAGAGCTGGCTTTAGTGTTAGTCACGGGGACAAAGAGCCCAGCTCATGGGAGTGGTGCCCACCCACGCCACTGCTAAGCCACTGCCTAATGCCACCAAGACCCAGATTCCCACACTACCAGAGACCAGGACAATGAAGCCATCCCATCTCCTCCCTGCCTGGCCCCTGTCGTCACCATCAGAATGTCAGGCCACTCAGGCTCCAACCACTGCCTCATTCACACCTGAGACTGCTATGGCAGTTAAATCACCTGACCCAGCATCAAAGCCCTGCCTCCAGACCCCTCACCCAGGCCACTGCTTGCCTCAGACCCAAGACCTCCCCGAGAATGTTCCTGCACTTATAGCCACATCCAAACTGTATAGCACCAGGAGGTAGGTTGGGGCCTCCTTGTGCTTTGCTGTCATGCCAGATCAAGACTACCCCCCCCCCTTTGTGGACACTCTTCCTCATTCAGGCCCACATTCCCTGGCTGGCCCCAGCCTCCCAGCACCGCCTCCCATCCCAGATCCTCCTGCTCATGCACCAAGGGCTTCTCTAGGAGCTTCTTCCCTCAGCCCACCCTGACAAAATCCTCCCTGACACACTTCAACCAGTGACTCTTCGACCAGGTCCTGTTAGCCTCACAGCCCATGCCTCCCTCTGCACCTGGCCAGCACCAGGAGCTACCACCACTGCTGCCCATTCCCAGGGTGCCACCCTCCCTTAGCACCCCCTCCACCTGCGGACACTGAGGTAGCAGCTCTGCAGGCACTCCCCAGCCCAGGAACAGGCCCCAACATCTTCCTACACTAGCCCCTCCCCACTTCAGACCACTCCCATTTACACAGGCTCCACAGCCCCCACTGCAGTCATGCCCTCCGAGGCAGCCCCAGCCACCTTTCCCTGCCTGGAACCCTGGCATCACCTCCTGCAGGCCTGCCCATCTCTACCAGGTTGTCTCCCACTTTCCAGTCAGTGGATGCATATCTTTTCCTTTCTTTCCATCCCTTTTCTCCCTACCTCTGGTAGCCTCACCTCACTTTATATAGCAGAGGCCCCCATCTCTGTATGTCATCATTGTACATCATGATCCTCCTGCAGACTTGGGTCTACTGTCTTCTTCCTTCCCACTAAATCCAAGAAAGTACCTCAGCCCCCACCACAAGCAGCCTTTTTCCAAATATTCTGGGTGTCCTTTCTCCCCGCTGTATCCATCCCGCTCCTCTGGTGGGTCATGGTTCCAGCATCCGAACACACTCCCATGCTCACCATCTTGATAAACCCATTCCTTGACCAGAGGCCTTTCCACCGTCTCCCAATTCCCTGGTCATAGTAGTCAAACATCTAGAAAAATTACATACAAGGCCAGGCATAGTGGCTCACATCTGTAATCCCAGCACTTCAGGAGTCTGAGGCAGACATATCATTAGAGATGGAGTTCGAGACCAGCCTGGCCAACATGGTAAAACCCTGTCTCTACTAAAATTACAAAACATACCTGGCATAGTAGCGCTTGCCTATAAGCCTAGCTATTTGGGAGGCTGAGGCACATAAGACTCCATCTCAAAAAAAAGAAATTACACACAAATTTCTCACTACATCTGCTCTTTAGGGGTTTTTTAGAAGCTGTAAATAGTGCAGTAAAAAATGTAGGGGAAAAAAATAGTCTCATGATGCTGGAACAACTGGCTAGTTGCATGAAGAATGAAATTAGACCCCTTCCTTACACCATGCTCAAGGGTTGACTCCAGATGGGTCATACACCTAAATGTAAAACCTGAAACTAAGACTTAGATGAAAACAGAAGCAAATCTCCATGACCTTGGGTTAGACAAAGGTGTCATAGATACCAAAAAGGAGTGACAACATACGTCAGCTGGACTTCCAAGTTTAAGATGTTGGTGTTCAAAAGACATCATTTAAAAGTGGGGGGGAAAAATACAGGATGTGAGAAACATTTAAGGACTGCATCTCATGAGGGACATGTGTCTAGAATAATAAAGAGGTTTTTTTTCTTTTTGAGACAGAGTCTCTCTCTGTTGCCAGGCGCCAGGCTGGAGTGCGGTGGTGCGATCTCGGCTCACTGCAACCTCCGCCTCCTGTGTTCAAGCAATTCTCCTGCCTCAACCTCCCAATAGCTGGGACTACAGGCATGCGCCACCACGCCCAGCTAATTTCTGTATTTTTTAGTAGAGACGGGGTTTCACCGTGTTGGCCAGGACGGTCTCAATCTCCTGACCTCATGATCTGCCCGCCTTGGCCTCCCAAAGTGCTGGGATTACAGGCGTGAGATAAAGAACTTTTATAACTCAGAAGAGACAACCAAATTGAAAAAAACAAGTGGAAGATATGAACATTCTCCAAAGAAGATACACAGAAGACCAACATGCACATTAAAAGATGTTCAACGTCACTAGTCATTAGGGAAATGCAACTCAGAACTACAATGAGATACTACTTCACACTCACTGGGATGGTTCTCATCAAAATGATAGACAACAAGTATCAGCAAGGATAGAAGTCGGAACCCTCAGGAACCCTCAAATACTGCTGGTGGGAATAAAAATGGTGCATCTGCTTTGGGAAATATTTTAGCAGTTAAACATGGAGTTATTGTAGGACCTAGCAATTCCATTCCTAGCTGTATACTCAAAAGAAATGATATGTTGACACAAAATCTTGTATACAAATGTTCATAGTAACTCTATTCATAATAGCTGCAAAGTAAAAACCCAAGTGTCCCTCAATTGGTGAATATGGCATATCCATCCAATGGAATATTCAGCAATGTTATTGATACCTGCTACAACATGGATGAACCTTGAAAACATTAAGCCAGACTCAAGAGGCTGTGTTATGATTCCACTTATGAGAAATGTCTAGAATAGACAAATCCAGAGAGGCAAAGTAGGTTAATGATTACCTGGGGCTGGGGGCAAAAGTAGGTAGTGAGGGGAGCAGGAGGCACTCGCACACAAGGTGATCTAGGAGTAGAAGCTGGGTGAGAGGTTATATATACTTCAGCCTTCCAGGATGTCACATTGTTTTCCAAAGTGGTTGCAGCCATTTATATTCCTGTCAATAGGGTCTAGCATTTCCATTCATCACTCCACATCCTTACCAGTATTTGGTATTATTGGGCTTTTAAATGTCCAATTTAGTGGCTATAGAATGGTACTGTAGTCTTCATTTCCATTTCCTCAGTTACTGGGGTTGAGCATTGTTAGTGTGTTTCCCATTTGGTCTCTGAGATGTCTGTGAAGTCTCTTGCCATTTTTCTATTTGGTTTTTTTTTTTTTTTTTTTTTTTTGAGATAGGGTCTGTCTCTGTCACCCAGACTGGTATGCAGTGGCATAATCTTGGCTCACTGCAATCTCTGCCTCCCAGTTTCAAGTGATTCTCATGCCTCAGCCTCCCTCCTGAGTAGGTGGGACCACAGGTGCATTATACCTGTGCTTATACTACACCCCACTAAGTTTGTATTGTTTTTTGTAGAGATGGGGTGTCTCACTATGTTGCCCAGGCTGGTCTTGAACTCCCAAGCTCAAGCAATCCACCCACCTCAGCCTCCCAAAGTGCTGGAATTACAGGCATGAGCCATCACACTCAGCTGGTTTGTTCTTTTATTAATGTGTAGCTCTATGTATTTTGTATATAAATTATGTGTTGTGAAAAAAAAACATTTGGGGCCAGGTGCAGTGGCTCACACCTGTAATCCCAACACTTTGGGAGGTTGAGGCGGGTGGATCATCTGAGATCATGAGATCATGAGTTCAAGACCCTCCTGGCCAACATGGTGAAATCCCGTCTCTACTAAAAACACAAAATTAGCTGGGCATGGTGGCACACACCTGTGATCCCAGCTACCTGTGAGGCTGAGACAGGAGAATCATTTGAACCCAGGAGGCGGAGGTTGCAGTGAGCCAAGATCACACCGTTGCACTCCAGCCTAAAGAAAAAGTGAAACTGTCTCAAAAATAAAATAAAATAGGCTGGGCACAGTGGCTCACACCTATAATCCCAGCACTTTGGGAGGCGGGGACAGGTGGATCACGAGGTCAAGAGATTGAGACCATCCTGGTCAACATGGTGAAACCCCGTCTCTACTAAAAATACAAAAATTAGCTGGGCATGGTGGCGCATGCTTGTAATCCCAGCTACTCAGGAGGCTGAGACAGGAGAATTGCCTGAACCCAGGAGGCGGAGGTTGCGGTGAGCCGAGATTACGCCATTGCACTCCAGCCTGGGCAACAAGAGCGAAACTCCGTCTCAAAAAATAAATAAGTAAATAAAATAAAATAAATCTGTATTTGTAACCTGTACATTCGCTTTCTTTTTGGTGCCTTTGGACAAAGTTATAGTTAATATAGTTTAACTTATGAACTTTCTAGTTTTACAACTAGTGTTGTATCTCATTTAAGGGATCCTTCCCTATCCCAAGGTCATGAAGATATCTTACTATTTTTTTTCCTAAAAGTGTTAAAGTTTTTCCACTTACATGTGTGTCTTTTATGCATAGAGTTATTTGCACATGACATACATTAGAAAGTTTTAAATAGATGCTAAATGCCTCTGAGACAAACAACTAAGTAACTTAACTGTCCTTCCCTAGTGACCATCAACTGCCCTTTATCAGGACTCTGCTTCTGAATTGGATCTGTTTCTGCATCTGATTCTGTTCTAAGGGGCAACTGTCTAGCCTTGCTCCAGTGCTATACATTTATGTAAAGACAGTTAGTGAACTATACAACTAATATCTGCTAGGCCGAGTCCTTGTTTTTTCTTCAGGGATGTCTTGGCTATCATTGACCTTTCATGTTTTCATATAAAAACTTTAGAATCGTCCTGTCAATTGGGAGGGCCAGGTGGATGGATCACAAGGTCAGGAGTTCGAGACCAGCCTGACCAATACGGTGAAACCCCATCTCTACTAAAAATACAAAAAAATTAGCTGGGCATGGTGGTGAGCACCTGTAGTTCCAACTACTCGGGAGGCTGAGGGAAGAGAATTGCTTGAGCCAGGAAGCCGAGATTGCAGTGAGCCAAGATCGTGCCACTGCACTCCAGCCTGGGTGACAGAGTAAGACTCTGTCTCAAAAAAAAAATCACTGTCAAGATCAAAATTGATATTTTGAGTGGGAATTTATAGGTTTTTTAGGAAGACTGAATTTTTATAACATTGCCCTCCTTTCAGTAATGGATATATTTCTCTGTATTTAAGTATTCTTTAATGATTTTAATAAAGGTTTATTTTCTCTCACAGATGTTTGATACAGCTATCAGATTTATTCCTTGGGACCTTTATGATTCTATTATAATGGTATGCTTACTAACAATTGTATTTTCTAACTGGGTGTACAGATTTTTTAATTGTATCTAACTTTTAATTAATTGTATCTAACTTTTCTAATTCTTATTAGTTTTAATAATTTGTTTATAGATTGTTGCTTTCAATATAGTAATCATCTATTAGTGATTTTTTTGCTTCCTTTCCAATCCTCAGACCTTTAGTTTTTTGCTCCACCTCAATGGCCAGGACCTCCACTGCCATACAATGTGGAGTGGATGGGACAACAGTGGGAAAACTTGCCTTTCAGTTGTAATGTTTTACCCTTCGCTTTTGCCGTAGGTTTTTGGTAGATGTTTATTATCTGGGTTAAGAAGTGAGCCCTATTCCTCTTTGGTTAGAGTTGAGTCATGAGTGTTAACTTTCCTCAAGTGCTTGTTCTGCATCATTGTGGCAAGCCCCGTCATCTCACCCTGCTCTGCCTACAACTTCATCTCCCTCCATGTCACCCTCTCTGACACCCTTAGAGCACAGGAGCCTTCTCCAGGTTCAAGTCACCCTCATGCCACCCCACTCACCTCTCCCATGGGGGCCAGGGCCACCCGGGCTGCAGCCATAGAGCTTGAGGACCCGTGTGATGTCCGAGGCACTCAGGTTCCATCGCTGGCCGATGTGGACGCTCGGGGCCCAAAGCGGTGTGATAGTGGGCAGCCCACGCCGGCTGAAGGCGAGTCTGGAACCCAGCAGGAGACCCCTGATTCCAGATCATGACAGAGGCTGGGGGAAGCAGAGGGAGAGGAGGGCAGGGTCCTTACCTCCCGTAGTGCATCACAGAGGAGTAATCATAAGGCGTCAGCATGTTGCTGCTCCGAGACTTGATGAAGTTGATTTCAAAGCCTCAAAACACAAAAATGATTTAGTGGCATATAAAGATGATGAGCAAGAAAGGGCAGGTAAGGGCTGAGAGTGTCTTCTGGGAGTTCGTAACTCACCCAAGCTAAGGGTGTGAGCCCTCAGCTACCATGCTGCTTCTGGTACCGGCCCGGCTTGACCTGGCTCTCCCCAGCCCTGGGAGGAGCCCCAACCTGTACCAGTGGTGAGGTGGAAGCACAGAGACCCCATGGCTGTCCAACCATGACCTCCTAGCATTTCTCTCCCCCATCCTTCCTCCTTGCATATTCACCCTGTACAGGGCTGGTCTCTGCATAATGCACAGCTACCACGGGTCACACACTGCTCAGGGTCTCAGATGCCCCTCCCACCCCAGATGAAGTGTCTGTTCCTTGACCCAGCTTTAAAAATCTGCCACACTGTCAACTGCAGTGGTAACACCCTAGTCCGCAGCCTCAGGCCTGCTGTTCTTCCTGCCTCAGGCCACAACACTTCCCCAGATTTGGAGCCCATCCCCCCTTGCTCCCGTCCCCCAGGCCTGGGAAGCACAAAGTTCTCTCCTGCCTTCAGAGGGAGACCCTGAAAGAAGCTTCACCCTCCATCTTTGCTCCCCCAATTCCCCCAAACCCAGTCAACCACCCATACACCCCATCTCAGTCACAGCAGCTCTGTCTCCATGGAGCAGATCAGCGCTCCAGCACCTTCATACCCCACCCACCTGCCTGGCATAGCTTCCTCTGGAGCTCTTATTTCTTCCTTTTAAAAACTCATTAAAAATAATTTTAAATAAGTAATACATTATTTGGTTCAAAAGTAAAACATTGAGATGTAATAGAAGTTTCCTACTCCATCCCCCGCCAGTTCCCACCTCCCCACCCTACAACAGTTAATTACTGTTATTAATGTGTCTGCCCTAGCAGAGTTCTGTACATATTAACCTAATACACAAATATGTTATTTTTCCCACGTGGGGAAGCGGGTGTTTGAACCTGTTCTATCATTGGGAATAATTAGTGCTGTTTTCCAACTCAGGTTCTGCTTTTACCTTTAACTCCCTTCTGCTGTCCTTGAACTTGGGTTGACTTAATGCTTAATTTGTTCTTTTTACTGATACCAAAGTCTCCACATTTTCCCTGAGCATTGCGTTAGCTGCGAAGCATTGGTTTTTGGACAGTCTTTCATGATTTTTTTTAGAATTGCTGTAATTTCTTTAACTCCAGAGCTGAAAGAAAGGTTTGTTGTTGTTTTTAATTTCTAAGAAGTAGCAGCTTTTGATTTTGATGTATTGGTTTCTACTTTACATTGTGATCAGTTTACATTAGTCTACTTTCAGAGTTGGAGTTTTTCATGGTATTTCATGATATATCATGAAATTATCAGATTAAACTTTCACAACTGTTCCACGAGCATTGAGAAAGATCAGAGTCTTGGGTGCAGAGTCACTTGTCACCACCCCTACTACTACCTCCCCAGTCTGGTATGATTCAATATCCATCTCCTTCCCTTGGTGAGGTGCTACCCATGTGCCCCAGACACCCCTTTCTCTGTGGCTGTGTGTGTGCTGGGAGCCACTGAGAAAGTGGTGTTTGGGGCCAGGAAGGTCCCTGGGCCCAGGCAGCTTCCCTGGCCACCTCACCTCGCGAACAGCAGTGAAAAGTCTCTTGCTGGACACCCTCCACCTGCAGAAGGGCTTCCGGCTCTAACCCCCAAGCCAGACTCCTGCTCACACCTCCTCTGCCTTCCCTCATGGGGTTCTTCCTGTCTCCTGAACCAGGCCATCTAGCCCACAGTGGGAGGGACCCCACCATCACCAGGATCTGATCCCCAGTGCCACACAGCTGCTGCTCCGAGCACAGACCACAGCCCACCTGCCCTTCTCCAGCCTCCACTGTCCCATGGCCACAGTCTGTGTTTCCTCTTCCTGCACACTGGCACCACTAGCTTATGTCCCAGCCCCACAGTGCTGCTCTCAGCCCGTAGCCCAGCACTTGGCCTGTGTAGCCTGCTGCTTGGGACTGAAGCCTTGGCTCAGCTTCCCCCAGCTGGCACACAGCCCTGGCCCATGGTGTAGTCGCATCTGGCACGAGACCGCTCCTAGAGTACTCAACAAGCAGGTATCACCGGCACTGCCTGCCCCATCCCCAGGGAGAGGACAGGTTCAGGGATGAAAATCAAGACAAAGCAGGTGGTGACACCCAGCTCAGGCATAACTACAGGTTGATGGAGGAAGGCCTGGGGCCCAGAGCAGCAACTGGACCACCTCCAGATCCTAGACAGAAGCAGGACCTCCACCTTCCCCACAGGAAGCAGGCAGGTAGTAGGGAGGATGGGTGGCCTCATCCACGGGAGCTGTCCCCTCCCTGGCACCAGCCTGTCCTACACATGGCCTGGCTTACCTGGGAGGATCTCATTCCAGTTGACATGGATATAGCGGTCCCGGTCAGCCCTTGCGTGCTCATGCCAGAAACCCAGCACGTGCATGAGCTCATGAAGGACAATGCCCTGGCCCTTCTGGAGACAGGCAGGTGCCAGGGAGACCACCTGCATACCTCCACTGCGCCCCACACTTGAGAAGCATCTGCAGGGCAATGAGAGCAAGGGGTGAGTGCCAGCCCCGATCCCCCCAGACACACAGACCTGGGCTCTCCCTCCCAACACCACAAGGTAGACAAACACCCAACAGGCAGGCCCCACTCTGCTCTAGTCTCAGGTCCACCATTCTCCAAGCCCCTTTACTGCCTGGACTTCTGTGAAATGGGCATACTGGACCCCATTCACCAGCCTGGCTGCAGGGAGGTGGCAGGAACTGATATGAACTTGGAGCCACTCACTATGTGAGCACACCCTCCTGGTTAGCCCTGATCCAAGGCTTTCACACACGCTGCCTCAGGCCCCTGACCAGCTAGGAAGCAGGTATTGCTACCACCCCCATCCCCAGAGAGGGCAGAAGAGGCTCAGAAGTTAGGGGACTTGCCAGGACTCAATGACTCACGCACTGTCTGTCCCACAAAACCTGCCTTCCTCACCACCCATGGAGTCCCCTGGGAAAGGAGGGCTTTGTAAATGAGGGTCTGGCACCATTCCCATCCCTTTCCCACTTTCTGCCCTAGAGGTCCAGCTCCCATTGGGCAGACCCCTCAGGGTGGGCAGGGGGACTGTGAGCCCTGGAGAATGGCCCAGAAGTAGATTTTAGGCAATGGACAAGTTAATTCCGGGCTGTAACACAGAAGCAAGCTGAGATACATGTCCTGGTCCCAGCACTTACCCATACATGGGGATGATGGAAATGAAGTCTCTCTGGCCCTGGTAGGTAACAAACCTGATGCACGTGGAACGTTCAAACTCCGCAAGCGCCTCTAGGATGACCTGGCGGCTGGGCTCACCTGAAAGACACTGCCTGGCTGAACCCCCAGAGCCCTGGTGTTCTTTGAGCTCTACATGGAGGTCTGGAAGCAGAGCTCTGAACTCTCCCAAAATAGCATCAAGAAAGGGCAGCCAGCATGGCACAGTGGCTCACGTCTGTAATCCCAGCACTTTAGGAGGTGAGGTGGGCAGATCACAAGGTCAGGAGTTCGAGACCAGCCTGGCCTACATAGTAAAACTCCATCTCCACTAAAGATACAAAAAATTAACCAGGCATGGCGGCACGAGCCTATAATCCCAGCTACTTGGGAGGCTGAGGGAGGAGAATCGCTTGAACCTGGGAGGCAGAGGCTGTAGTCAGCCTAGATCATGCCACTGCACTCCAGCCTGGGCAACAGGGCGAGACTCCATCCCCCCAGAAAAATAAAAATTAAAAATAAAGGGTAGCCTAGTAGTGCTAAGAAGAAGCTGGGCCCCAGATAGACCCTGGCTGTGTGGCCTTGGGTGGGTCACTGTCCTCTGCACAGTATAGTCTGAAGGGGAACCAGATTCCCCCTAGATATACCATCCCATCAGCTCTTCCAGGATTTTAACCCTCCCGACTCAGGAGACCTTTGGGAACAAAAGGGCTTCTGTGGAAGGCTCTTGGGCTGGGGAGGTGGAAGGGTTGTGGTGGCATAAGCAGAAAAGGAAAGAGAAGAGCCACAGCTGCATTAGGAAGAAGGGGCTGCAGCAAGGAGGGAGCCCGCTGCGCTCACTCACTGTACTTGCTGGAGAGCAGGAAGGGGACCTCCACGACACCGCCACCACCCTTGGGCCACTTGTTGCTGGTTGCTGACAGCAGTCGGAAGGGACTCTGAGGAGAGAGCAGCAGCTCAACCTCTGGGAACAGAGGCCACACAAGCTTTGTGCCCCAAGGGTACCACACCCCAGGGCACCCAAAGATGTGGGAGTCAGGACCTGTGTGCATGGGGATGGGGGACCATTAGAGATGGGACAGAGGTGTGGAAGGCAAGGGGGCCAGCTATGTGAACCTTGATGCACAAGACAGTCCCGTGGCCTATGACGGAAGAATTTCAATCTCAAGCAAAGAGATTAGTCCCTGAGGATGTTGGCTAGGAGGCCTAGAACCCCAGGATGGCCTGGATCAGAAGGGCTTGGGCTGGCAGCCCCACCCCAGCATGTGAGCAGTGCCCCTTCCAGAGGGGAACAGCCACCAAGCTTCCCCGAATATGGGATGATGATAGGGACAGATCCTGTTTGGAGTGAAGGCAAGGCAGCACCCTGGTCCACTCTGCGCTCCAGCAACCAGAGCCCTTCAGAGCCCAGGCTCCAGAGCACCCCGGTGTGCCTGCACCATCAGCTGGAGGCGTTTTTTTATTCTGCTCCAGGTGGTCCCACACCACCTCCCCGAGCACTCGCTGGATAACCCACAGAGGGGCCTGCCCTGTCCCGGAGTTCCCGGGCAGGCTTGAGCCAGTTTCTGGTTCTCCTGGAGGCTGTGCCATCAGTGGCAGCCTCCAACAGGACAGTCTTGCCTTCCCCTGGATCACTGTCCTACTCAGGAGCCTTCTACCATTCCCAGTCACCTAAAATATGGCACTGCTTCCCTGGGCACCGTGTTACCTTTTCTACCAGCAAGGCACCCCAATCCCCAGCAGCCTTCTCCCTTCAGATGTGGGCCCTCAACCCCAGCCAAGATGGTCAGACTCCACACCACTCCTTGTTCCACCATCCCCAGGTCACGACTACCACCAGGCCCTTCATCCCCCACCAGCCACTCTGCCAACACTTGCTCATCTCCTCCTTGGTCCAAATACCTCCCCCAGGCAGGGTACCAAGCTGGGTCAAGCGTTCAAACCTCCTCCTTCAGGAAGCCCTCTCAGGCCAACTGTGCCAGCACTTCAGATACCAGTCTCCCTTAGTATTCAGGCTGGCTTATTCATAATAGAAGAGTCGCTGACCTTGACAAAAAGGGGCCTTCATCAAGCTATGTATGCCCCTCACACATAAGGCCCCATGCACCCAGGGTGGGCACAGAGGGCCTCTTTGGCCAGCCGTGGGCTCATCTGCACCCACACATGTCCATGTGTGCACTCACTGGCCGGACGATGTCCCCCTCGATGAGAAAGCTGCTCTCTGGGGTTTCTTCTGGGATGAGCCCTGGGAAAGGAAGGAAGGACGTTTGTTGGCCCATGTCTCCCAGAACACTGACTCAAGGGACATGCCAAGCAAGTCCCTACTTAAGTCTATTCTTGTGTCTTTCCTGGTAGATTGTTACTTTTGTAAGTTCTTAAAAGGCCTGATGAAATTATAGGTCGTTGGCTCTCCAAGCCTGGATATTTGAGAATGTCAGCCTGTTCGGGGCTGTCTGCAGGTGTGAGGGAGCCGGGAGACAAAGACAAAGGCATCTGAGGCTGGAGTCTATCCTTCCCCTGACTGTGGAGCTAGAGGTTCCCTGAGCACTGAGCCTGTGTGGCCTTGGGGAAGTGGCACAGCCTGAGTGTGCAAGGCTTCTCAGCCAAGCTGTATCCTTCCCCGGCTCAAACACAGCCCATGGCTCCCACGACCTACAAAATCCAGTCCCTGCTGTCAGGAAACAGCAGCCTCTTCCAGCCTGCACCACGTTCCTCAGAACAGGCGCTGGGCTCTCCATTCCCTTCATCCCCCACCTGTTCCCCACCCATCTGTTATCTTCAGGCCCCTTGAGGTGGCAAATTCAAATTTGTTGCACCATCAGAGGCAGGCAAGTACCGACTCTCGCAAGCTCCTCTCCACCTGTAGCTTGCATCTGCTTCTCATCTCTCCCTGAGCTGGGTCTCCCACAAGTGACTCAGAGGGAGTGAGGGAAGCAGGAGAGAAGAGAAGGCAGGGAAGAACCCAGGTGCAGCCTCAGCCAGATATCATGGATGCTCCTGACCACAAATGGCACCTCTGACTTGTACCACCTTGAGGCAGGGGCCAGACTCCTGTCCCTGAGGAGTCACAGTGGGCCACCCCGGGCAGGTGAAGGAGTAGCTCTCAGGCATCTCTGGCGGAGGCAGCTCCCTTTAGCCGAGGGGCAGTCTTGGGGGGGTAGATACAGCTGTGTGGCATTAGCCATATTCACAGCAGCTACAGATGGGTAGTTGCTTCCCAGGGAAGAGCATTGGGCAAGGCACTGACAGCTGTTGAGACAGCCTCACCATAGGTGATAGGATAAGTGTTGGAGTTACTAGCATTTGGGAATTTTCTCCATGGCATCTGACACTCAATGACAGGGAAGAGTCATCGGTTCTGGTTACCTCCAGACCACTCATGGTGACCTAAGGGTGGGTCAGTGCCTGGGGCTCAAGGCTTAGGAAGAGGAGGCAGATCTTACAGTGGCTACATCTGGTAGGATCTCACCCACCCTTAAGGCAGGGTTGCCCCTGTTTCCCCAGTGCTTCAGCCCTCACGGCTCTAACATCTGAACTCCAGTCTCCATTTTGACTGGCTTTGTTCAGGCTATTTATACACCCTCATTCCTCAGCTTACATCCCCACATTCCCAGACAGCAAGACCCCAAATTTTTTTTATTAAGATGAAGTCTCACTCTGTCACCCAGGCTGGAGTACAGTGGCACAATCTCAGCTTACTGCAACCTCTGCCCCCAGGGTTCAAGCGATTCTCCTGCCTCAGCCTCCCGAGTAACTGGGACTACAGACATGCACCACCGCACCCGGTTAATTTTTGTATTTTTAGCAGAGACAAGATTTCACCATATTGACCAGCGGATCTTGACTTCGTGATCCACCCAAGGTGGCCTCCCAAAATGCTGGGATTACAGGTGTGAGCCACTGCGCCCGGCCGCCTCAGACTTCTTAACCACACCTGCAAACAGTCCTGCACAGGGTGGCTGATGTTCCCAAACATCAACTGACCACTTAGCTCCACACCCAGGCTCAGAGAGCCAACAGGCCATTTCAGAACGTAGTTTTTCTTATAAAAGTAACAATCCACTAGGAAAGATACAAAAAGAAAACGCAGGCTTAAGCTATTGCCCACAGAATTTCCACCTACTCACACCTGTAGTCCCAGCTGCTCAGGAGGCCGAGGCAGGAGGATCACTTAAGGCCAGGAGTTCGAGACCAGCCTGGGCAACATAGCAAGACTACCCGATCTCTTAAAAACCACTTAGAGCCCAAAGTAAACTGGTCCATTTCCTCCCAGGTTCCGCATTTCTGAGTGTTCAGTGTGGTTTTCACACTACACAGACAATGTCATGCCTCTCCAGGCTCTGAGAAGATGCAGTGGCCTCACCTTGGTTAATTGAAGGAATGTCCTTGTCCCAGGATGCCTGGGTTCCCTCAGGGGTGAGACCATCTTGGAAGCTGGTACCACAGGCTCCTGGGCAGCTGGAGGCCAGAGGCACTCCTAGGATCATACCTGGTCCAGACAGACAGGGACATACATACTGGAGCACCCACCAGTGAGACCAGACAGCAGGATATGGGGTGGTTGTAGGGGATCAGACTGCAAGACTCAGCCCCTAGTAGGCTCCAGCATAGAGCCAAGGAGCCTTCCTGTCCTCCTTGCTCAACCCCAACTGGCCAAAGTCTAGATGACCTCAGGGAAGGAGCTCCCTTAGTGGGACCAAAAGGGCACATGTCCCACCTATGAGGTAAAGGAGGAACAGAAAGGAAAGAGGCAGGACAGACCGCAAGTTCTGACACCCATGGCAGAAGCAGGGCCAGCCTCAGACCCCACTCTATGACTCTCAGCCCAGGCTCTTGGACAATGGGCTCAGCCTGGATAACTCCTGGCCTGACCAGGCTGGAGTAGGGACTTTCAGTCTACTCCCACCACAAGACAAGTAGGTCTGGGCACAACACCTGCTATCTTCTGCCAGGCAGGCCCTCTACTTCCAGAACCTTCAGGAGGCCTCCCTTTGGCCCCCAGAAGCTGACTTCCAGAACAATCCTGGAGAGCTCCGTGCTCTGAGCCACTGAGCTCAGCTACAATCTCTGCAGGCTCCAGCCACAACCTTCTGGTGTCTCCCCAGCTTTCTCCAGGCTGGAGCCAGCAGCAGGAGGGCCAGGCAGCCAGCTTACCTGCCAAGGAGAGCAGACCCAACACCCAAGACCAGAGACCCCCTACACCCTCCATGGTAGAGCCCTGCCGCCCCTTCAGCAAGCAAGACTAAGCCCCTAGCAGGACACAGAAGCCTAATTACAGAACCAGCACCACCACCCCCTCTAAAATAGTAGCTGCTCCAGCTCCCACCTTGTTCCCACCAACGAACTCCACCTGCAGCCCCACCTCAATCAGCTCTACCTGCAGCCCCGCCCCAACCACCTTCACCTGCAGCCCACCCCAACCACCTTCACCTGCAGCCCACCCCAAGCAGCTCTACCTGCAGCCCCGCCCCAACCACCTTCACCTGCAGCCCACCCCAAGCAGCTCTACCTGCAGCCCTGCACTAACCACCTCCACCTGCAGCCCCACCTCAATCAGCTCTACCTGCAGCCCCTGCAACACCTACCTATGGTTCCCACCCCAGCCCAGTCCCCTTCCTGGCTGCAGTGGGTAAGACTGAGGGACCCACTTGGGAGTGTGGCTCTTCTGAGGTTCCTTCCTGCCACCAGGGGGCAGAGAAACATCGCAGAAAGTTGCTCCAGGCCCAGCTGAGGCCCCAACCCTGGGACAGACCTATCCCTCCAACTAGGGAGACACCTTTCCTGCCCCTGCCTGTGCTTAGACATGGGGAAAGCTGCCTGAGACCCTGAGGCAGTCCCGGTGTATCTCTGGAAGGAGGGAAAGATCACTGCACTTTCACAAGCTTTTATTTTAGTACACAGAAAAGCGCACTATCATAAGCGCAGGGCTCCAGGAAATTTCACAAACTGAACAGTGTGCAACCAGCACCCCAAAAAGCCTGCCATGTGGGAAAGGTGGAACCTGCAGATGCCCAGAGCCTTGCAGGAAGTCCACCTCCCTAATCCCACAGCAGCTGGCATGATCAGTCAGTATTTATTCCCATTTCACAGATTTGGAAAGTTAAACTCCTTACCTATATCCTCCCACCTCCGTCCCCCTGCCTCAGAGCCAGGTTGCTTAAGGCCCACCTGGACTGAAATCCCAGAGATGGAGCATGTCAGCACTGGGCAGCATTTGGGGACATCCTCACAGCCACCCATGCCCAGTGAAGGGAAACCGCAGAGCCAAGAACAGCAGCTATTGTCCATAAAGACCTCTCAGCAATCCAGAGCTTTTCAAAAGATAGGAATCAGAATCACAGGGAGACTGTGATGGAAGCAGACACCCTGCTGCCAGGGCAGGGTATTGACAGACGTCAGGATGCACGTGACGGATATGCTAATTAGCCTGTTGTGGTCATCATTTCACAAGGTATGCGTATGTCAAAACATCACATTGTACACTTAAACATACGCTACTTTTATTTGTCAATTATGCTCAATAAAGCTAGAAAAAAATAAGTAAAATAAAGAATAGGTTCCCTCAAAACACCAAGAAGTGCATGATTCTGACCACTTAAGATGAGTGTTTAGTATAAAAATTAAAGTAGGCCAGGCGTGGTGGCTCATGTCTCTAATCCCAGCAGTTTGGGATGCCGAGGCAGGCAGATCACTTGAGGTCTAGAGTTTGAGACCAGCCTGTCCAACATGGTGAAACCCTGTCTCTACTAAAAATACAAAAATTAGTCAGAAATCCCATGAACCCAGGAGGCAGAGGTTGCAGTGAACTAAGATCATGCCACTGCACTCCAGCCTGGGCAATAGAGTGAGACTCAATCTAAAAAAAAAAAAAAAAATTAAAATAATGGTAACAAATAATCACCCTGCTTTGGGAGAGAAACAGGGTCTTTATTAGGACATGTAGTTGGTCTGAGGACATTTTGCTGAGTAAAACAAACGAGTCACAAAAAGACAAACCCTGCATGATTCTACCTCCAAGAGGTGTCTAGAATATCCCAATGCACAGAGTCAGAAAGTGGAGCACAGCTTACCAGGGACTGGGGAGTGGGGAGGTGGAGTTATTGTTTAATAGGTATAACATTTCAGGTTCCCAAGATGAAAAAGCTCTGGATATCTGTTGCACAATGATGTGAATACACTTTCTACTGCTACACACTTGATTATGGTAAAGATCAATTTTACGTAGCGTTTTTTACCCCAATTAAAAGTTGAAAAATTTAATAATAGGAAAAAAAGGAGGGAAAGAGAAAGAGAAGGACAGTTCGCTGGATGACAAGGTATTGGGTGGGGTGGAATAGGGTAGGGCCAAGGGTGGGCTGGGAAGAAGCCACCAGTCCAGCTGGTGAGATGAAGCTGTGTGGTGTAAAGTCCCCTACGACTTAGAGCCCCAAGCTGGTCCCAACAGACATCTGCTCAGGTCCTAAGGAAATCGGGATAGCAGCTCCGGCTCTGCTCAGCTTACACTGGAGTGGCTCACCCCACCCTCAGAGAGCAGAGGGAAGAAAGATCACCCTTCATTCGGCCTCACAGAGTGAGTGCCCACTTCTGCCGGGCTCCAGGCACATGGCTAAGAGGACCCCAGGACCAGCTGTCGTTAAGTGTCCATCCTGGTCCAGATGCACACCTTGAACTTGCACACCTGCACATCAGATCAACCTCACTCCTAGGGCCATAGTTAGCTAACATTTTCTGAACATCTACTATGTGCAAGCAATGCAGGGATTGACTTGTGTAAGTCTACAACCTGAGAGGTGGGGCTAACAATGAAACTCCATTTTACAGACAAGAAAACTGTATACAGCAAGGTTAAGCAAAACCAGCCACCATACTGTCAAACTATGCTGCCCACTGCCCCACATGTATGCCCTCCCGGGCATACAGAATGCTGTAAGACAGCAGTTCCCAACCTTTGTGGCACCAGGAACCAGTTTTCTTTTGTTTGTTTGAGACCGAGTTTCACTCGTGGCACCCAGGTTGGAGTGCAATGGTGTGATCTCGGCTCACTGCAACCTCCACCTCCTGAATTCAAGCAATTCTCCTGCCTCAGCCTCCTGAGTAGCTGGGATTACAGGATGCCTGCCACCATGCTCGGCTAATTTTTGTGTTTTTAGTAGAGACAGGGTTTTGACATGTTGGCCAGGCTGGTCTCGAACTCCTGACCTCAGGTAATCCACCCACCCAAGGCCTCCTAAAGTGCTGGGATTACAGGCAAGAGTCACCGTGCCTGGCCCAGGGAAGAGTTTTGTGGAAGACAATTTTTCCATGGACCAGGGGTGAGGGGGTTGGTTTCTAGATAATTCAAGTGCATTACATTTATTGTGCACTTTATTTCTATTATTACATTGTAATCTATAACGAAATAATTATACAACTCATCATAATGTAGAATCAGTGGGAGCTCAGAGCTTGTTTTCCTGCAATTAGACGGTTCCTTCTGGGAGTGATGGGAGATAGTGACAGATTATCAGTTAGTTTCATAAGGAGCATGCATCTTAGATCCCTCAAATGCAGTTCACAACAGGTTTGAGCTCCTATGAGAATCTAATGCAGCCACTGATCTGATAGGAGGTGGAACTCAGGCAGCAATGCAAGCAATGTGGTGCGTGGGAGCAGCTGTAATACTGATGCAGCTGCTCACTTCCTACCGTGCAGCCCGATTCCTAACAGGGATCTGCCCATGGCCTGGGGACCTCTGCCATAGAGGCAGACCGTTTTCAGAGGCAACCCTTGTCTGGATGACACTCCGAGAGGCCGAGAGTGTCCCAGTGAGCCTGAAGCAGGACTGGCTCAACCATCACCAAAGGCGTCAGAACCCCTGCTCTCAGGCAGATCACAGCACCCCCTTCTGGCAGCCTCGGCATGCACCCCTTGGCTTCTGGCATGGATGAAGCCCTCATCTCAGGTCTCCACTGATACTTTAGTCCTATGCTGGGCCTACAACTGGAAGTTCAACGAAGATATGCTAGTTAAGTGGGTGTGCAGAGCAATGAATCCCATCCCTGGTGACAGGTCCTGTACCAGACACGGGGCCACATGCCTGGAACAGGGGCCACTGTGAGCCCCCCACCACCTGGGGTGTGGGAGAAGAATAGGGAGGCTGCGGGGCCCTGCTCTGAAGCAGCAGAGGCCCACTTGGCCTGGGAAGTGCCTCTTATGTGGGAGTTCACACACGCTCCCACAGCAACACCATGCACAACACACACATGTGCAGAGGCCAAGACCACCCACCCTCACAGGACCACACCCTCAGGCACACATTCACATCCTTCCACGTTCTGAAAAGGAAGCGGGGTCTGAGCCAGCTTTGAGTCACAGACAGGAGCCAGCCTCTCAGAAACGACCCTGTTCAGCTCCAGAGTGAGGACTCTGTCTGGGAAAGGACGCCAGCCCAGGGTAGAAGAACCAGGTCCAGCAGGGCAGCCTCTGAGGGAAGGTCAGACCTGTGCCTTCCGGTCACTGGCCCTTCTGCCCATCCACTTCCCAAACCGCGCAGGCACAAGGAAAGGTGAGGTCCAAGAAGGCTCCCGGGCATCAGATGAGACCAGACACTTGTGGGACTGTTGTTTTTTTAAACAAAACAATATTTTATTGACACATCCTCAATGTTCTGTATAAATATAAAGTGCTAAGTTTCCAACCCCTACCCACAGAGCTAGGAGGAAGCGGGGGGGAGGGAGTGTTAAATGTCAGCAGAGCACAAATAACTTTCCAGCACCAGCACAGGTGTGGAAGCCTCACAGAGGACACATGCAACATGACACACTCATCACTTCCCAAGTCCCCAGCTCCCCCAGGAACACAGGGCTTAGGCTCCAGGCCCCGGGGGGACCACACCCCAGACAGGGCTCCTGGTTGTCACAGCTTGTTCCTTGGAGCTCTCAGGCTGCCAAGGGCTTCAGCATGGTGGTGGACTAGGGAGAGTCCACAGTATAGAGTCCAGTTGTTTTCTGCCAGAAGATGGGGTGGGAGAGAGCAGACACAACCTCAGTTCCCCACCCCTGAATGAGGACCAGCCTCATTCCCCCAGCAGAAGAGCACCAGGTTGGAAAGGCCATCACGCCGGCATTCCTAGAGCCCCCCCTGTGGGGGCTCCTCAAACTCTGAGGAGGCAGCAGCCTTCCCAGAGGTGAGGGGTCTGTGCTGGCTCAGAGGGGAGCCCACCAGTCCACAGTCAGCTCCCCCAGGAACCAGGGAGAGCCAGAGCAAGGCAGGCAGGCAGAGGGGTGCCCACCAGTCCACAGCCAGCTCCCCCAGGAACCAGGGAGAGCCAGAGCAAGGCAGGCAGAGGGGAGCCCACCAGTCCACAGTCAGCTCCCCCAGGAACCAGGGAGAGCCAGAGCAAGGCAGGCAGAGGGGAGCCCACCAGTCCACAGCCAGCTCCCCCAGGAACCAGGGAGAGCCAGAGCAAGGCAGGCAGAGGGGAGCCCACCAGTCCACAGCCAGCTCCCCCAGGAACCAGGGAGAGCCAGAGCAGCAAGGCAGGCAGGCAGAGGGGAGCCCACCAGTCCACAGCCAGCTCCCCCAGGAACCAGGGAGAGCCAGAGCAAGGCAGGCAGAGGGGAGCCCACCAGTCCACAGCCAGCTCCCCCAGGAACCAGGGAGAGCCAGAGCAAGGCAGGCAGAGGGGAGCCCACCAGTCCACAGCCAGCTCCCCCAGGAACCAGGGAGAGCCAGAGCAGCAAGGCAGGCAGAGGGGAGCCCACCAGTCCACAGTCAGCTCCCCCAGGAACCAGGGAGAGCCAGAGCAGCAAGGCAGGCAGGCAGAGGGGTGCCACCTCAGTGACACAGCACCTGGGTCTCAAACTGCAGCAGCTGCCCCATGAAACTAAAGTTGGGGGAGATGACCCCCCGGCGCTGCTTAACGAAGTCAAAGGCCTCGTCTAGCCGCACACGGCGACTTTGCATGAGGTATGCCAGGCAGATGGTGGCAGAGCGTGAGATGCCCGCCTGGCAGTGCACCAGCACCCGGCCTCCACTGTTCTTCACCCAGTCTGCAAGGGAGACAGGGGAGTGATGTCAGACAGGAATGTGCCAGGAGATAGGTGCCCCCACCCCTTTCCCGTGGAGCCCCTCGGGATCTCTGGGCAGAGGCGCCCCCTTACCAATGAAACCTATGGCCTCCTGGAACCAGGCGCTGATCTCCACCATGTGGTTGTCCTCCACAGGGATACTCTTGTAGCGGAAAAGGCCCTCAAAGTGGTTGGGGCAGCTGGCGGACACGTTGAGGACGGCTGTGATGCCACAGGCCTGCAGCCCCTGCAGGTCTGATGAGTGGTTGCAGCTGCCCAGGAATAGGTAAGGCAAGATCTCCACAGGGCCACCCTGGAGGGGGCAGAGGGGTGGTGAGGCCTTCTTAGCCCAGCCCCAGAAGGCTGGAGCAGCAGCGGGTGGAGACCTCATGTGCTGGCCAAGACCAGAGGAGTCCTCAGCCAGTCCTCCTGACCCGAGACAGGACTCAGGAATGTGCGGAGGACACACAGGGACACACAGGCCCCTCATGCCCCCAACATACACATGCAGACATATATAGACCCACACAGGCACGCGCGAGCAGCAGTATCAGCCCCCCACACACACACACTCCCGCACACACACGTATAAAGGTGTGTATATGGGCAAACTGCTCACATCCGTAAATGGCAGGCTCTTTCCCTAAAGGCGTCCAGCCTGCAGTGGGGAGGGAGGGAAGGGCGGAGGGCAGTGGCAAGAACCTCTTATCTCCACTCACTTGGTCGTAGAAGGGAGCCCTGGGGTTTGAGCGGCTGGTTTCGTCCCCTACTGGCGTCTGCGCAGGAGCGGGGGCCTCTGAACACAGATCCGGACAGCAGGCCTGGAAGCCGTCGAAGCCTCCTGCAGGGAGGGGAAGGGCACAGTCAGCGGGGAAGGCCCGGCCGGGGTCGGATGCGGCGGCCAAGGGCGGTCGGCGCGCTTACCTCGCAGGAAGCACACGGCAGTGGGCCCCGCGCGGGTCTCATGCAGCAGCGCGGTTAGCAGCACGTGGGCCGGGCCGTCGGGCCGGAGTTCCGCCACCGAGGGACTGCCCTCGTCCAGCACCACTGCCCGCGCCAGCTCCCCGCGGTCCAGGCGCGCCCTCAGCGCGCGGTCGGGCAGCAGGCAGGAGAGGGCAACTGCAGGAGGGCCGCGGGCGCGGCGCCGCAGCAGCGCATTCCAAGGCACGGGTCGCGCGGCGCGCACGTGGCGCCGGCAGAAGGCCAGGAAGGGCCGGCAGTCCAGCAGCAGCGTGCGCTCCGCCTCCCGCGGCTGTCGAAGCAGTGCGCCCAGCGCCGTGCACTCAAGCTCGCGCGCAGCCTCCAGCCCCATGACCACCCGTGCCTCTTCCTCTCAGCTCCAGGCACCCTCTGCAGCAGCCTGTGTTAAGTACCCGTGGGCCGGCCTACGGGGCACCATACAAGGGCAGAGCAGGAAGGCGCTGGCGCCCGCCCCCGCCCCTCACGTGGGGCGCAGGCAGGGCGGACCCGGGGACTCGGGGGAAGGCGGGGCGCGGGACCAACACACAGGGAGGAGGCAGGGACCAGCGACTAAGGGAGGGGAAGGTGTCTGTATTTGGAGGAAACGGCACCCCCTCCAAAGGGTGTCTTTGCGCCCACCCTTTGACCTGTCCCAACCCACTCAGTCGTCAGGAACCCAGCGTCTCAGAAGCAAGTCCCCTCTCAGGGCCAGAGATGTCTCCTGGCGTACCCTCCCCTCCCCCCATCCTGTTCTCCCTCTGCCTTTTCCCTTTACCTCCCAGAATTTCCCTCCTAGGAATCTGTCACCATACTGACAAATGCCTGCTGCCACGGGTGATTTTTACACTGTCCTTTTTCTCATCTATTTGGAGACCTTGGGCTGGAGGGACTCTCTCCTCTCCCTCCTCGCCCCCCATTGCCCAAATGAGACCAGCACACACAATCTTGCAGTAGGTCGCTGGCCAAGCTAGGCCAGAACACAGTCCCCGGAGGCCCAGGCCCCTGGGCTTGGGCGAAAGGGAAGTGAGGCGGGTCCTGGGGCCTTTCAGGGGGAAAGCAGGGGTCTGTGACCGGTTTCCAGTTATGAGTGGGGCCAAGTCTCTCCCTCCTAGGCCCAGGGAAAGCCCCCAGGCCCTGAAGAAAAGCACTTCCCCTGCCACAAGCCTGCCCTGGAGGGAAGTCCACTGACGCTCTGAGCCCTCCCCACACTAATGGGGATTTCAAGACCTTGGCAAGGGGAAGAGAGAAAAGCAGAATAGAACTGGCCTCCCCCACCCTAACCCTCCCTGTCCAGCCCCCCTGGGCAGCAAAGTCCAGGACTAGCACTGCAACCCTAGGACTGGGGCCTGGGTATCCCCTCCATCCTGGCCTCCCCCAGCCCTGCTGCCGGATGTGGTGAGGCCCAGGTGTGCGTGGGGGGTCTGAGCCACAAGAACTGTTGGCAATGAACTCCCAAACTCAAGGAGAGAAGTTCAGGTGGGTGGGGACAGTGTCACTGAGCTGGAGCTGCCCCCGCCCTGCCCCTAGCTGCATGGGATTTCAGTCTCCCAGCCCCCAGTCTCCTGAGGCCCTCCTCTGTGCCCTTTGAAAGACCCTTCCAGCTCCCCCGCAGACAGCTATGTCCAGATCGTCTTGGAGAGTGACAGCTGGGACCTGTGTAGAGCCCACAGCCCTTCTGGACTTGTCGGCTCTGAGCTCCTCACAGCAGTGTGCCGTATGCCTGGTTGTGTTCACGGGACCGTGGAACCTGTGCAGTTCCACTTCGTGTGAGAAGGAGCTGGAGCTTGTGTGCGCTAGGGTCAGAGCACATGCAGGAGAAAAGCCCCGAAGACTCCAAAGATCCCTGGGGCCACATCACCCTCTCAGTGTCCCCATTTGTAAGGGGGAGCACATCATGGAGCAGCACCCGTCCACACTGGCTCCAAGGCTCCAAGGCTATGCCACTGTCTGGGCAACTTGGCTGAGGCCCCGCCCTCCCTCGCAGGCCAGTCTGGAGGCTGAGGCAGCAAAGCCCACAACAGAGCCAGGGAGTCTGGGCCACAGATCCCAGAGGCTGATATGAGCTCTTATCTTTGGCATCGGCCTCCAAATGACTTAATGCTGATTCCAGGGGCAAATTACAGAGTGTGCAGAAGGACAGTCAGATCTAGTCTTGCTGTTGGGCTGGGAGTCACAGCCTTCCAGCTCCGTGGGAGAACCCCAGCCAGGTGTGATCCCCGATTCAGGAGAACTCAGCTCAGCCTTGTAAGGGGCTCCAGTCCCCAAATCCCATGCTCGGCTGGGCCTCTTCCCTTCCTTCTGGAGAAACTGGTATACTTTGCCAGGGAGTTCTGCATTAGGGGAGAGCACTGCTGAAGGTTTGCACTGATGGCACAGTCCCTGGGGCCTGGCACTCTTGGCCACAACCAGTGGTTTCTTTTTTTCTTCTTTTTAAGTAACAGGATCTTGTTATGTTGCCCACACTGGCCTCAAACTCCTGAGCTCAAGTGATCCTCCTGCCTCAGCCTCCAGAGTAGCTGGGACTACAGGCATATGCCACCACCTGACTCAGGACCTAAAGTGACTCCACATATGTCACCCCCTTGAGGCCATTTGCCTTGGGGCTGTCCCCTTTTCAGCTCTGGAACATGGGCTCACAGAGGCCCAGCTTAGCTATGAAGGCAAGGATTCCCTTTGCCTTCTTTCCCCACTCCCAAACTGGGGAAAGCCCCACCCCCGATTACTGGGTGAAAGCCCAGGGCTGGGTAAGAAGGTGGAGAGACACAAACCCATGCCCCTTCCCAATTTTGCTCTGACAAAAGCCCCCCAAGCCTTAGGTGCTGCCACTGGTTATTATGGTGCAGGACGCCTGCTCCTCTCTGTCACCCCTGAGAGTCTCCCCAATACCCGATCACCAGAGCCCAACCTTGGGAATGGCAGCAGAGAGGAGGCTGGGCATTGGGTGTAGAGGTGGAGAATGTGATGAGGAGGGGTCTCTGCTAGACAGATGCTCGGCAGCCTGAAGGCTCTGGAAGCAGGACCGGTCCCTGCCACTAGATGGGAAGGGGCTGACCTAGGCTGGGGGTGCCTGTTCAGAGCTCTCTCTGTTTTTATTTGTGTTTTTCTCGGCCTGGCTGTTACAGAGCAGACACTATCAAGTAAGTTTGGGCTCAGCAATTTTTTTTTTAATTGAAAACCTGCGAGACTCACTGGGAACAAATGATGATTCTGCGTGTTATTCTTTTTATGACCATCCATTTTGACGGCTGTTTAAGCGTCACTGGCTCCTGCCTTCGGGATTCCGGGTCTTTCCCAGCCCCAGCAGCACATCCACCCAGCCCCCTGCACAGCAAGTCTCCCTCCCACAGCTGCCTGGCTCAGCTCCGCCTGATGCTGTGGAGTCTTTCTTCCTCCTTCCAGCCCCCACCCCCAAGCAGATGCCACACAGGGGCCCGGGGATGAGTAGCTTGGCTACAGTGCTTGGGCCAGAGTGTGGATGAAGGTGAGAGTCACAGGCAACCCCAAGGCCTGCCGAGGGGTGAGTCAGAGATGACGTTGGGTTTCCTGTGCCAGGCCTCTGACGAACACGCCGATGTGGCGGCCACTCCCACAGGCTCCTGCCAGGTGCAGACCCAGACCCCACACACCGCACTGGGCTCCAGGGACAGCCCCTCTGTGAGGAAGGCACACCCAGCACAGTGCAGGGTGGGGGCAGGGGGTTCACCTGGGCAGTCAGCGCTCAGCGAAGCCTCCTCCTGGCCAAGGTGAAGTGAATCCTGTAGCCGAAAGGCCTGGTGTCTGTTCCCACACTCTGTCATATGACATGTCTCATGCATGTGTGTGAGCAGGAACCCAGAAGCAGTGCTGCCGGGGAAGCTTTCCTGGGCACAATGGGGCCTCCTCAGGGGGCCTATGACACGCCCCGATCCTGACCTTACCTCTCACCAGGTGCCACCCTGAGCTTTGGGTCCCCTGGCGTGCACCCCCCAGGAGGATGCTCCGGTGCTCAGACATCTCGAGGCTGCATCCAGACTGGCATTGAGGAGTCCCCAGCCATGCTCGAGGACATTCTGCCTTTCTCAAGTCCATCAGTCCTTCTGAGTACATCAAGAAGAAAGTCTCCTTGTGGGGCTGGCATGACTTAACCCCTAACACCTGCCTTTCCTCATTTCAACAAACAGGCTGAGCGCTCTCCCCAAGTACCCCTATGTAGGTTACCCATCCCTTTCTGCATTTATTGCCTACTCAAGTCTTCATTCAGAAATACATTTCAAGAACTTTTTATGTGCCAGGTACTGTTCTATGTGCTGCGGATACAGCAGTAAATCCCAAACCACTGCCCTCAAGGAGCTGACCTAATTTCTTCAATAATATTTATTTTTGTGATTTATGTTGTGTTCATGGTAAAAGATACTAATTATTCACCCAGAGTAATGATACCTTTTCCTTTTAAAGTAAATTTTAGGTTTGTAAAAACTGAGTTGACTTAAGGAAGACTATTGGGAACATCTTAAAAAGTGCAGTGCATGGCCAGGCACGGTGGCTCACACCTGTAATCCCTGCACTTTGGGAGGCTAAGGCAGGTGGATCACTTGAGGTTAGGAGTTCAAGACCAGCCTGGCAACATGATGAAACCCTGTCTCTACTAAAAATAAAAAAATTAGCCAGGCGTGGTGGCAGGTGCCTGTAATCCTAGCTACTCAGGAGGCTGAGGCAGGAGAATCACTTGAACACAGGAGGTGGAGGTTGCAGTGAGCCGAGATCATGCCACTGCACTCCAGCCTGGGCAACAGAGCAAAACTGAATCTTGAAAAAAACAAACGAAGTGTGGTGCCAGCAGAAGATGCCAGAGTCAGGCCTTGTTGTCCAGGAAAGGATCCTATGGCCCCTTCCAACTTCAGGAGGTGCAGTGCTGTGGAATCTGGTTCCCCCTTCTGCCATGATTTCCAATAAAGAGAGGAGGCCACAGCCTGAGGAAGGGATGTGGGAGAACCAGTTCCACTGCCAAGGCCAGAGCCCACTTGCCTGTGGACTTATCCACCAAAGCAATTGCATTTGGCTGTGTTCCCAGATGGGCCTGGGCCTGGGGGTGGAGGGGACCCCCTCTCTGGGCTTTTCCCTGGGCACCCACCACCAGCATACCTGTGGCCCCCAACCCACTAGGGTCCCAGTAGTGAAACTGATTCCCACCCTGCTAGCCAGAGGCGCTGTGCCTTAGGCCCAGGTATCTAAGGAGGGAGGAGGTTGCTAAGGAAGAGCTGTGGCCAGGGGTAAGAGTTGAGCAAGAAATGAGGGAGTCTCAAAAATGTGATCCCACTGTGGGCACTGGGCAAGTGGCTCTGTGACAAGAGGCCTCCTGAGGCTCCCCTGTGACCAGAGCTGGGTGCACTGTGGGAGGGGGTGGTGACAAAGGGACCTCCTTCCCACCTCACCAGTGCTGACATCTTTATTACCATCAAAGACTAAGCCAGGCTCTCTGCCACCTCTAAAGACCAGCAATAGCACAGCAGCAGCGGCGGCAGGGGCAGCTCTGGGCAGCTGTGGGGGTTCTGAAGCCACATTGCCTTGGTCAGACACAACTGGACTGCTTCTCCACAGCGTGGTCTTGGTCTATATCCTTATTAAAAATGCAATCACCAGCACTATGCTGGGTGCCTTGGGAGCATCACTGCATCTAGCCTCATACCCTGGAGGGCTGCCTCATTATCCTGCTCTGCAGATAGGGAAACCGAGGCCCAAAGGTGTTAGGAGGCAGAACCAAGGCCACACAGTCCATATGCAAATGAAGAACTGGGATTGAAACCTGGGCTTACCCACTGGGCTGCCCTGCCACTGGGCAGGGTCTACATGGGTCCGACTGCAGGGTATCCTTCATCCACCCCTTTCCAGCCTAAGTCTCTTGCTTCTTGGAACAACCACAGCTGACACTGATTGTGTGCTTGCTGTGTGCCCTGACTTGTCCCAAGACCTTAACAGAAATCATTCTCATTTAAACCTTGAAGAGCCCCCAGATACAAATGGGGGAGCCATGGCTCAGAGAGATTAAGGAGCTTGCCCAAGCTCTCAGAGCCAAGGCTGAAATTCAGTTTTGTATCCCCTTGTGACTGTCCCCAGAATCCAGGTTCCTGTACTCCAGGCCCTTTCCATCTGCCTCCCACCCTTTCCCACAGCCCTTCTTTCTCTCGGCTGCCATCTTGGAAGACCTTCAGGGCATTGGTGCCACCTCCCCAGCTCTGCTGCAAACCTCTTAAGGATGCACAGTGCCCAGGGCACTGCCCCTCTGAGTCCACTGGGAAACACAGTGCCCAGCCCTGAGTGGGGCTTGATGCATCTCTGCAGGCATAAGGACTTGCCCCTGTGCCCCCAGGTAGCCCTTGACAGGAAACTGATTCCGCAGGAAGCTGAAATCCACAGTGTGGGTTGGAAGTCATCATCAGCCTAGGCCCTCATCCCCCACCATACCTCAAGCTCCAGAGAAAAAAAGGTGTCCTCAGGTGCCCAGAGCAGCAGATAGTTCCCAAGAGCAGATGTCCTAGGCATGTCAGTAAAAGAGCCCACTGTGAAGCTGGGCATGGTAGCTCATGCCTGTAATTTGGAAGGCCAAGTGGGGCGGGTCACTTGAAGCCAGGAATTCCAGACCAGCTTGGCCAATATGGCAAAACCCCATCTCCACTAAAAATATAAAAGTCCAAAGTGGTGTTGCATACCTGTAGTCTCAGCTACTCAGGAGGCCAAAGCACAAGAATCACTTGATCCTGGGAAGAGGAGGTTGCAGTGAGCTGAGATTGCACTGCTGCTCTCCAGCCTGGCAGCAGAGTAAGACTCCGAGACTCTGTCTCAAAAAAAAAGTCCACTGTTGCAACCCACTGGATGTCCTGGGTTCAAGGGCAAGCTCTGTAACGTACAGCTGCAAGCTTCAGGCTTCCTGTGGGTCCCAGCACTCATTCACTCACCAGTATTTACTAAGTGCCAAGCTGCTTTCAGGGTGTTAGGGTGCAGACGAGAACAAGACACACAAGCTTTCTGGCTTCTGGGGCTCGTCTTCCAATGCAGGGTCAGAGACCTGCGGAGTAGTAAATAAATGAGACCACGACAGACAGAGGGGGAGTGAGATGGAGCAGGGGAGGGGGCACCAGGGAGGTCTCTGGGAGGAGACAGCTTTCCACTGCAACTCCAGCGATGGCAAGGAGCCTGCCAGGGCTGGGCCCAGGAAGAGCAGCTAAGAGACAGAACAGCAGGGACAAAGGCCTTGCAGC